TTGCAGATTGCAGTTAACTGAACACCTCTCATGTCTGTATTTGACGACCTGGGAAGGACAATGAGCTGTGAAGTGTGTAGGAGGAACTAAAGGAAGGGCGCCAAACTTGCAAAAAAAAGCTCAAATCTAGAGCCAGTGTTTGGTTTGTTCGTTTTGGGCTACTGTAGAAACATGGCGGTTCAACATGGACTCCATTGAAGGTAACCAGCAGCATCTGTAGATAAAAACAGCTCATTTAAAGGTAACAAAAACACGTTTCCTATATTCAGGTGATTATACACTAATGAAAACATACATATTATATTCCACTTCTGCCAATAGATCCTCCTAAATGTTACACACTGGACCTTTAAGGTCTCATTTCACAGAGGCCTTCGGGTGTTGATTATAGTTCTTCTAAATAGTTCTGAACACTTAAGTCTTTACTGTGTAAATCTATCTAACCGCCATCCAACCACGTTTTGCAGGCGATGTGATTCCTCCAGAAACCACCCTGGTGTTTGACATCCATCTGTTGGATCTGTGGAACAAAGCCGACCTAGTTGTTACCAAAACCATCACCACTCCCAAAGACTGCAAGCGGTCTGTGATGCGCACTGACTTTGTGCGCTACCATTTCAACGGCACTCTGCTCGACGGCAGCGTCTTTGACTCCAGGTGAATTCTTGGCGTGGACGACTGTTGACGTTTGGTTGAAAGGTTTCCTGTCCAAAATGGTCCTTCTGACTTTTGCATGAAACAATTAATTAAAAGCTTAATGTCATTCTTATGTGAAGCCCTGTCCAAATGACAGCTCTTGTGTGTCATCCAGGTATGTTGTGTGTTTTGACTTTGCGCTTGTATGAGCCCTACGTAGCTACACAAGGAAGCAGACCCATGACTCCTTAGTGGGCGAGGGTTGGCTGATTAAGGGCATGGATGAGGGTCTGCTGGGCATGTGTGTGGGAGAAATCAGAAATATCGTCATCCCACCCTTCAAAGCCTACGGAGAAAAAGGATCGGGTGAGTACAAATGACATCAGAAGAGAGAGAGAGAGAGAGAGTAAATGAGGGTCAAACTAAAGGGGCTAAAAAAAAAAAGAGGTGATTGTTTACATTTGAACCCCCAAAATCTTCTCAATAAAATGCATATACACAGATGTACAAATACTTTTTCTTCATGGAACTTAAATCAATTCTCTAGTCTGGAGTTGTTGTTTTATTACTAGTGCTATAATGTTTATAAGAACTGGTCCCTGTTTGTTTACATGTACAAGGAGGCACATGAGGTACGTGAACATGGATGTAAACATTGCACACTTCACAATACTTTAAAAAAAGTTGGCAAATTATGATTGAGGGAGGAAATGCATTCATCATGTTTGGAAGGATATACAGTTTGTTTGTAAGTGACAAAGTGAGAATGTAAACATAACTTTTGTTTATGTACAAGAAAAACTCCACAGGGAACATTTAAGGTAGAAAAACAGTAAACTAAACTGAAGATAAGCAAAATAATCCCATGAACTGCTGATTTAGAAATATAACAAGCAAAAAGGATCTTATTTCAATATTTTAATTTACATATTATGTAATTTCCAGTTATACTTAATCAGCTAAAGGACCAGTGTGTAGGATTTTGTGGTATTTAGGTGGTGTCGTTGCAGATTGCAGCTCTCTGGCATCACTGTTCCCTTCCAAGATCCGACAAGTAATTGATGGTGTGATATAAATCAGGTCAAAACAACGTATTAAAAAAATCACCAAAATAAAACTCCCCTCTTTATAAAACCACTTTTCTTTTATGTTAATGTTGTCAGATGTTGGTAGGTGTATGGTCTGAAATTCTCCACCCTTTGATCACCAGGTACAGAGATTCCCTCCCAGGCAACCCTTGTGTTTAATGTCCTGTTGGTGGACATTCACAACCCAAAGGATAACATCACTGTTGACAACCAGGTGGTGCCTGAGTCGTGTACACGCAGGTCTGTGGTTGGGGATTACATCCGGTATCACTACAACGGTACCTTCCTGAACGGAGGCACCTTTGACACCAGGTGAGCTCAGGTCACACGGCAGTTATAATGCATTGTTTGGGGGATTAGTCTGCTGCTTGTTCTCTGCTGTGTCTTTTCTTTCGGTTTGTTGTGGGTATACAGAGAACCTAATTCCTGAGAACTGTAATCATAAACATGCAATCCTATTTTTAAACCATTCTCTAAATGTCAACCCATCACCTTAGTATAATTTCCTTTTAAGTATAATTCCAGTAAAAGCTACCCTTCTGGAAATTAAACCGTGCTCGTCTGTTACTGCCAACAGCTACCAGAGGAATAGCACATACAACACCTACATCGGTATGGGGTATGTGATTTCAGGCATGGATCTGGCCCTGCTGGGAGTCTGCATTGGAGAGAGGAGAAGAGTCATCATCCCCCCACACCTGGCGTATGGAGAGCAAGGAGCAGGTAAGTTGCTGTTACTGTCAGACTGAATTGATTTAAACTGATTTAATACAATCAGTGTTGACACACAGTTAAGGTTCTGGGAAAATAACCCATTAAAATCCATGGGAAATAGCATTTTAGAGCATTTTGGGGTAGAATATAAACCAAATAGATAATGACCCTAAGATATAGAGAGAACATCTTACAGTGAATATGTCATATACATGAACATATATATGACATATTTTCAGTTATTGTTCAGTAAATATAGGTGCTAAAATTAATAGTTTATTGACTCAGATCATTAATTTATCAAAAATGCCAGACACTTTGAAATCTAATCTAGTCTAATTGTGATTTATAAATGAAATACCTTTGGATTTTGGACTCTTAGTCAGACAAAATAAACAATTTAATGTCACTTTGGAAAACGGATCGGCATTTCTTCTTTCACAGTGTTATAGACTAAAAGATTAACTGAAGAAATAATTGAGAGATTAAACTAAAATGTTTTGGCCTGATAATCAGACTAAATTATATGTTTTGACAGGAAAACCAGATAACATAACCCAGGTCACTGTCACATATTTTCATGGTCACAGGTTGTGTATAAAGTTAAAAACACTGATGTTAAATGAGGCTATAAGCAGATCTCAGTGTATCTGAACTGTGAGTTACCATAAAGATTAAATATTGTCTACGTGTGGTCTTTCCAGGTGACGTCATCCCCCCTTCAGCTGTCGTGGTGTTCGACATTCACGTCATCGACTTCCACAACCCCAACGACACAGTGGAGATAAAGATCAACTACAGACCCGAGGACTGTAACGAGACCACCGGGGAGAACGACCTCGTCCGCTACCACTACAACTGCACCCTGGTGGACGGCACGCCGCTCTTCTCCTCGTGAGTCACACCGGACATTCCCCTATTTGTTTTGGATCGGTAAAAATAAACAATTAATTACCACTTTTAATTTGATTTCAACCCCCTTTCTCAGACACGACTATGAAAACCTTCAGGATGCGGTGCTGGGGGCGGACAAGGTGATCGACGGTCTGGACCAGGGCTTGCGAGGCATGTGCGTGGGAGAGAAGAGGGTGGTGACAGTGCCTCCTCACCTCGGCCACGGAGAAAAAGGAGGTGAGACTCCCGCTTTGTCTTGTAACAACCGAGAGCATGAAACACTACCACACTGTACTCTTTATTCTTTATCAGGAGCAAGATGGTTTGCTTTATTGTCAATGAAATAACTCCTCTGATTTATGAATTAAAACATTTGTTTTTTGAAGTTATGTTAATTCTGATGTCAGACTTTAGAAGTCAGGTAGTTCTACATATGCACAAGTACACTTCCCAGAGATACTAACAGTGTTTTTCTTACTTTCTGTCCATCAGCCACTGGTGTGCCGAGCAGTGCTGTGTTGGTCTTTGATATTGAGCTGGTGAGCTTTGAGAAGGGAGTGCCACCTGGTTACCTGTTTGTGTGGCTCCAGGACACTCCTGCAGACCTGTTCGAAGCCCTGGACACCAACAAGAACAAAGAGGTGCCCGAGGAGGAGGTATGTTACTGCTGACGGTGGAACCACCACCTACATTATTTCACATGGCCATACCACTGAGTTAAAATACTCCATTACCATTTGACTGAAGTAAAAATACAAAAGAATTAGTTTTTTAGTCTTTTGCAGATAAAGTATTTATTATATACATTATATTTTTGATTTGTTATCTTTTACTAATGCTTTCATGTGTAGTATAATTTTACTGTTGTTGTTGTTGGCTGAGGTTACAAACAAATAAATATTCTAAGTACTTTTACAGAAGTAAAGTATAAAATGTATACTAAAGTACAGTACTTGAGTAAAATTGATGGAGCCTATGATTAAACCCACTAAGATTTGAAAATAGAAACTTTGGCTCCATCTGGGGGTCATTGCAAGAATGATTCTGCTGTTTGTTACATTGATCTACAAAAACATATCATACTTAATAAGATATCAGAATAATTTAAGAGAGACATTAAAAGCACATTCTTGACCTTGGAAACATCTGCTGACAAAATAATCTCACTGAAAGGTCCATCTAGTGGCCATTCTGGAGCTTTCAATCACATTACATGATCTTCCATCTTGCTTGAAGAGAGAATGTTTAGTGAGTCACTTAAAAGACATAAAAAGTTGAGCCCCTTACAGACATGCACCCCTTTAACGTGTCAGTCTAAACTCAGTGAATAGATCACTGTTTATGAACGAGAGTAAAATATTAAGCTGTCACTGACTCTTCATCACATGATGACGAGTTAATTCTCTGACCTCCTGTGGACACAACCGGTGAGATAGTGTTTTCTTAATGCTAACATCTCAGACCTATCAACTGGAAAAGTCTCGTTCAACCTTTTAACTTTTATCTCTCGACACACTCTAGTTCGGGGAGTTCATCAAGCTGCAGGTGGCAGAGGGCAAAGGTCGCGTTAAGCCCGGACTGATCATGGAGCAGGTTATTGCCGACATGTTCAACAACCAGGACCGAAATAAAGATGGAGTGATCACGGCCGAAGAACTCAAACTGAAGGTAGAGGAGGACAAGGAAAGGGAAGCGGCGAGGCATGAGGAGTTGTGATGAGGACAAATGTTTTCATTCTCTCAGGGATGAACCCCGGCATCTTAAAAACAAGCAACAAGAGACTTTTCCTATACGCCATCATGGTTTATTACTTTCTGTACCACATTGGACAGTCTTTTGAAATGACAAGAAAATAGTGCAAATGGTCTTTTTGTGGAGTTTTGTGTTTTATGTTTGATTTTGATTATTGTATTTCAGAAAAACAAACAAGCACCTTTTTATTTTTCCCTGAAAGTCACATTGATTAAAATGTTTTTAAGAAAAAGACAATTTCATTTTTTTTTTTTCACCTGTATTTATGACAAAAAGAGATTTGCACCAATACATAAATTAACTGTTGTTAGAGGCTGAGATCACCTGTAAACAAAATGTGTTTTTTAAAGCTGCATTTTTTGGTGCAAGATACCGAGTTGCAACATTTCTCTAAGTTACACTTAATGGAGAAGTGCGCCAATTTGACAAGTCTTGTAAACCAGTCGTTTTACGGGTTTTGTCTCCGAACAAACTGTTGGAGGTTGAGTTGCATTGTAGGAAGGAAGTGTGGAATAAAAAAGATGATATCTCTTGTTCTCCTAAATCGATTTTGATACATTTTAGTGCAACACTAAATTGACAGAGTAACAAAAACACAATATTTTACCCAACACTACCACCTGTCTGATAAAAACACAATATGAGTGTTTAATCACAGATATTTGCCATATTAGTGATTACCTTTTATGATGGTGATCACACAAAAGTGACTTTGTAATGTAGAAATGTTGCACAAGAAGCTCTTTAATAAAATAACTTTTAAAAAGCTTTAAAAAAACACAAAAACTATTGGATACTGGTATCAACTTAGAATATAGGTATTATTAACATTGATGCATCTCTAATAGAATTTAATGATTTATGATAAATAAAATACCAGTTTTAACAAATGTGGACTACACATTACAAGTTAGTTAGGCCACATCTTTTCTTCTAACACACCTATATATAAGTGTAACCAGCTTATTGTTAAATCCTAATTTATAGCAGCCACAGTGTTTCAGTTGAAAGACAAAATACTTATTCCAGATTGTATATTCCCTTCTTGGGAATACTGCCATAACGTGTTTGTCTTCACTGTTTAGTCTTCAGGTTTAAAAAAAAGAAGAATAACTCACTTAACTAGTATAGCTTAAAGACTGTAAACTGTACCCTGCAAGTAAACTCGACATGAGCATCAAGTACTGGCAGCGTACACAGAGGTAATATACAGTACCCACGAAACACACCAGTGTCAAGTAGAAGACTGCAGATAAAAGAGTTTCAGCATCAGCCCATCCTCATACTGTAAATAAAGTAACATTTTGCAAGTAAAAATACTAAAAATGTGAACAGTTTTTGTTCTAAAAAGGGGAAGAGGACAGAAAATTACAAATACACTGTCATAGTTTGTACTGACACTTTTAAGAGGTTGCTGAATTGTTTTCAGAGGGAGTGCTGCTGATACATACTTTATGCATTTTAAACAAAAATCTCACTTAACTGAGTTCTGTTGAGGTGGAACATTGTTATTCTTGTGCTACGGTTCATTAAACAACAGGGAGAACAGAGTTATACTCAAAGCCAAGCCCTCGAAAAGTCTGTTAAGTTCCTGGCATAAATCACAAATTCTTCTGAATTGCAAATGCATGACCTAATTTAGATCTTTCAAAGCTTTGATATGCAGCGAATACAGGTCAGAACAGTGTCAAAATAAAAAGACTTCAGAGTAAAGAGTCCAGTGGTTTGAGGTAAGTGGTGAACGGAGTCCATCTGTGTGTATGTGGTCATAAAGTGTGCGGCTCCTCCCTGTGCGTCTTACTTGTTGTCTCTCGATGAGGTAATGTATCTGAGGACGGCGTTCGGAACGTCCATCGTCTCGTCCTTCACCAGTACGATGTCAAAGGAGTTGATGTACAACTCTTTTCTCTCTTCAACCTGAGACGCACAGAACAATTAGGACGCAATTTCTAAAACGTTACGTGCTGATATAACCAATCCCGGGATAACGCTGTCCGTTAGTCTGACCTGGTCGTTGAGGAAGCCGATGGTGAGGATGTTCTGGTGCTCCGCCACCCCGTCGGCCATGGTCAGGTCTCCTAAAGAGTCCCCCAGCAGCAGCACGTTGGGTCGACCCTGCAGCTCTCTGAGGCCAGCTGCGTGTGACAGAGCACCTTCCCTCTTGTTGAAGGTGTGGATCAGTTGGCCTTTGAAGGCTTGCAGGACCCCCTAAATCACAAGACAATGTTCAGTTACAGGTGATGCAGTAAAATAAGTTGATTTTTGTGTTAAAATATATGATACTGTTGCACTAAAGGTACATTAGTATAACATTTAGGAGGATCTATTATAGGGACTTCTTATCGTGGTTTTTCAGTCACCGTAGTTCCTCCTACACACTTTCCCAGCCAGTTCTCATTCCCAGAGACGTGAGCAGTGTTCAGTTAGTTGTAATCTGCAACTTCACAGCTAGGTGCCACTAAATCCTACAC